GCCGAGGACTGATAAAGTTCTTTCCTTTTAAGTTTGTCTGCCTGTTGTCTGTTAACGAGCAAAGAAGTGGGGACAGAACAGGTACTATACTCCTGAACATATACAGAATGCTGAAAGAATACTGAGTACATAAGTAGCAGCATGCCTCATTCAAAAAGAGACATGTTCGAAGTACATTTGTGTTATATTCAGAGTCTGGGCTTAGCCCAACAATCACTCAGTGACTATACATATAATTTTAAAGAGAGAGAAGTAGAAGAGAAAAAAAGATGCGAAGTTCCCTTTTGCCTCTTAAACAGAGAAACTCAATAATAACAGGCCAGATGAAACAGACAACAAGTCCATTATCTTATTATTTGCCCTAGTGGTCAATACAGCTCATAAGAGCTAATACATTATGTAGTCTTCAATAAATATTTCATTTAGGTTTATTAATATGGTTTAGTTATCGTCAACATATTTGGAAACATTTAAGTGATTGCTGAAAAGCCACAAAGAAGTATTTTTAATTTCATGCCTAGAAAAAAGATGAAAAGTAAAACTTCAAGTGCTCTGTTTTATTGGGGCAGACGGTGTAAATTATTTCCATGTAATGTTGCATAAATAAAATTTATTCTTGAGGTTTCAAGTTTCAATAGTTATTAAATATGTGTAGCTATAGGAAATTACATCCATCGATATCACAAAAATATACAATTCAATTAAAATCTTTATCTATTGATAGATTAGACACCATCAGTTGAGGTTTTAAGTTTCAATAGTTATTAAATATATGTAGCTATAGGAAATTGCATCTATCGATATCACAAAAATATACAATTCAGTTAAAATCTTTATCTATTGATAGATTAGACACCATCAGTTGCTACCAACTCTTAATGACCATATTGATTGCTTTTCTTCAGGAAGGTGTGTCCTCTTCTTGGTTCTTCAGGTCTTCCAATGGCATACCTATTGCTATCACAATTATGTCCATCCATTCTTTTCTTTCCTTTTCACAGCATTTAGACCTCTCCCGAGAGCTCAATCTTTGCATAATGTGTCTGAAATATGATAATTTGGTCTTGGTTATTTCTACCTTGAGCAAGAGTTCTGGGATAATTTAATCCAATGCACTCTACATGGGGCTGCCCCTGAAAAGTGTTCGGAGACTACAGCTGGTTCAGAATGCAGCCGCGCGAGTGATAACGGGTGTACCTAGATACACCCATATTACAGCTATCCTCCGCGAGCTGCACTGGCTTCCTATTGGTCTCTGAATGCGCTTCAAGGTG